TATATACTTATTTTGGAGTTAATTCTCAAGAGTTTTCCTTCTTTCTTGGAGATCTCAATTCGTTTTTCTAGCATATGTGTATTTCTTCTATTATATTTCTTCGGCTATTTCTCCTGGTATTATCCATTATTAAGTGAGATCATGGAGATAAAGCTTAGAATTTAAATTCTTATCAGCAACACTGAGGCGGTAAGCAGTTTATCATTGTCTACCTCTGTCCCACGACTCATGTTTTCAGCCACACCCTGTAAAAATGATGTGCGCATCAGATGTGAGCCAGGATTTCACAGTCCACGTTGCCTGCTTGCGCACACTGTGGCTGTAAAAGAGTGCCACTCTGTTCTGAATTTTATGCTGGAATTTCCATAGTTCAACATATTTTTGAAACAGCCCTTACAGTGTTCCTAGAGATGGAAATGATTGTTTTTTTTCCTGTGCCTCAGAAATATAATTTTTTTTATGTCCATGTCCAATAAAGTGGATTTATATGCTAAAAGAAAGTACCCTTGGTGCCACTGCACAATATCTTTTTGAAGGCCTGTCTGAATTCTTTGTTGAAGATGGTGTATATGACGGGGTTGAGTGACGAGTTGCAGTAACCAATCCAGAAGAAAAACTTAAACAGTGGATCGGGGATGACACAGGTCTCCGGGCACACAGCCTGTAGAGAGTAGGAGAAGAAGAATGGGAACCAGCACACCACAAAGACACCGATGACCACCGCCAGGACAAAGGTGAAACGTTTCTCTCTATTCACCATCGCTTTACGCCTCGCTGCTCCAGGGTTGTTGTCTTTTTTTGACTTCCTCCCTGGTACCAGCCGAGCCCCCTTTGAAGTGGCAATCATGTCCTGGTACCGCTTGACTGAGGCCGGGGAGTGGATGCCCCCTCCAGCCGGGGATCCTGGCATGCTAGGGCTGCCTCGACCTCCTCCGTGGCTATGCTCCATATCACTCTCTGTGCTTGAGCTGTCGCCATTGTTATTGTCAGCTTTTTTCCCTCCCCACTTTTTGCCCTTCTTCTTCTTCGTCTCTTTAGTCTTGGCAGGGGCAGACTGAGGCTCGGGGGAAGGGGGTGAGGGGGTGTGGGGAGAGGTATCAAGGGAAGATGTGACAGGGGTCATGGCTGTAGAATGGGGCGGAGGTTGGAGGAGATTATTGGGTGTGGGATTCTGGGAGGTTAGAGCCTCTCCTTGAGATGAGGAAGGGGCAATGGTAAGGGTGGGGGGCCTGGCATGGGAGGCTTTGTTGGAAGAAGGGGGTGTGCTTTCTTCATCATTTTTCCCATTGGCCTGTGCATGGCGTGGTGGATGACTTGGCGTGGCACAGCCAGCGCCATCCTTCCTGGGCTCTCCGGGTGGGCAGCGTGTTCTCTGCTTGGCTATTTGGTAGATTCTTACGTAGACCAGGATCATGATGACGCATGGTGCAAAGAAGGAGCCAATGGTGGAGTAAAGGATATACCACCTTTCGTCGTTCAGCTGGCACTGGGGCCCTCTCTCGGTCCCCTGCTCCCCTGGCTCGCTCTTGTTCAATGAGAGCAGGGGAGGGAAGGAGATGATGGCAGAGATGAGCCAAACAACCACAATGGCAGCTTTGATGCGTCTGGGAGTTCGCTGACGCCCATACGTGACCCTGGAAATGGAGAGGTAGCGGTCCAGGGAAATGGCGCACAGGTGCGCAATGGATGAGGTGCAGAAGAGCACATCCAGAGCCAAGTAGATCTCACACCACAGAGATTTAAAGTACCAGTAGCCGAGAAGTTCATTAGCCAGGGAGAAGGGGATGATGAGCGTGGCTACTAAAATGTCCGCAGCGGCCAGTGACACTAAGAACAGATTCTGTGGACCCCGGAGCGCCCGGCTGGTCAGGACAGCGATGATGACCATGATGTTCCCCACGATGGTGAAGACGACCATCAAGGTGATGGCGGTGGCGAAGACCGCCGTGGCTTCTGGGGAGTACGGGGCGAGCTTCAGGACGCTCTGGTTGCAGGGCACGGAGGCTCCGGAGCTGCTCACGCTGCTGTTCCAGCCGCTCAGCTCCATGGAGCAGCTGCTGTCCAGAACCGAGGCCATGCTGGGGGTAGTTTTCCAGGAGTCTTCACAGATAAAAATAAATAAATCATAATAATAA